AATAAACCCCCTTGGTACATGACTTCTTTATCAAGGGGATAAGGTTGCAGCACAAAACGCGAAAACAACTGTTTAATTCATTCCGGGATTCTCGATAGACCTAACTTATCATCTATCTGTGGCTGCGTTGAATTTGGCCGAGGAGTAGGAGGAATTGGTTGGAGTATAAAGGAAAGCCAGGTAAATTGTTAGTCTCGAAGAGCGCCTAACGTTCAGTATGGTGTACGGAGCATGTTCTATAAAATAAATATCGGAATAGTTTGGAAGCTTTCATATTAGGTTTTAGGCTTCGGTTCGTTTTACTTATAACTGGCTCCAACACTTATTCCTTTTTTAGATTGTATTTAACAAAAGCTAGCATTACTTTTAACTCTTTTTATAAAAGAGGAGGCGGCTTACCTAATGGTAAGTGATCACCATCGCTTATGAACATCTACAACACCAAACATATTGCAAGTGCGTTGCCTGCCTTTTAGAACAAGGTAAGGTTTTTAAAGGTCCCTAAGTCATATCGGTCCTGAAAAACTGCTGGCGCCATAAATTCGACAATTTGGTAATGTGTGTATTTTCATTTCATTTCTGTCAAAGAAAAAATTAACAAATACAGAAAGAAAAAAAAGAAAGAAAGAAATACGTTTATTTGGCATATATTGTAACAAAGAAAAAAATACTTTTAATCTTAACAAAAAAAAATACTCTTAAATACACCAAAATGGTCTCCATTCACTTAAAGTCTGTGATTTGAAGATAGAAATTGAAGTAATTGAAGATAGACATCAATTTGTAACGCTGATTATATGTGAAGCCAGGAGTGTGAGGCGGATGACCTAATGACAGCAAATTAAAACTTATAAATATAAAATAAAAAAGCATGTGTGCAAATGCAGTAGAAACCCTTCAAATGAAAAAAGATTTTGAATATTGATATGGTCACTATAAGATGTTGTTAGGTTAGCTAATTACGTAATAACTTAAGACAGAAGGACCCTTAAGTAAGGACTGAATAAATTAACCGACTTGAATCTCACAACTTTTTACGGTAGAAGAACTGAGTTGCGAGACTTTTTTTACAAGTTATGTTTTTGATAGCATCTCCATTCTTTTTGTAGATAGTTATATCTAGGTACCTATCTACACCTATTATTCCATTATATTATACATATACAGGTACACTGATTCATTCACTGCAAATGTAACTTTGTAATCCTATATATTTATATGGGATTACAAAGTTATTTATGCAGTTGGTGTATCTCGAAAACTGGACACTAAACACTTATTGTATTCTAAATATGAAGCTTCTACGTCTGCCAAAAGTACCTTAGAGTTTTGATAATCGGTCAGTCAGTGAGTGACAAAATTAAGAAACTTTGACTAGTTATAATTCTTAAACTACTGGTTCAAATTGAATTAAATTTGAAATATGCCGTGTTTATATGTATATCTTTATATTTTATAATGCATGCTTGATTACTGAAAATTCAGGCTTCTAGTTTTATCCACAACGAAGTTATAGGGTTTTGAAAATAGCCTGAACTGCTTCGAGAAAAGGATGGTACGGCCGTGCCGCTTTTTTGCTCGACTTGGCGGGGGTACGGCAGATCTTTTCTTTCGAGTAAAATTGCTTTGTAATATGGCCATACAAATACTTGTCCCTTAGCACTGTAATTCATTGCTAAGCCACTACGCCACGTAGCCGGCAATGTTAAATTATCCTTTATTTTAACAGTTTAAACTTATATTTACCATCTTTAAAGCACCGCACAAAGAGGAGACCGAGATAATAGAAAACACTGTATTAAAAATATACTAGCAATAGTATCTTTTTTAAAAGACAGCAGCCGAATAGCGGATTCACACCAACGAAATCAACCTTTTGAGTTCACTTACGGTCTACACTTTACATTCTATTTCATTCTCTCGCAAGCTAAATTCTATATATTATGTATGTATTTGTCTCTTTTTAGTCTCGCTTTTACGTGTGTGACCATACGCGCGCACGCGCGTGTGTGTATCTCTCTCTCTCTGTGTGTGTGTGTGTGTCCGTGTAAGTATGCGTGCGTGAGTAAATGAGTGAGGGCGTGTGAGCGCCCGTGCGAAGCTTGCACCAAGAGTTTATGCCTACTTGCCGTATTTCTGCACTGAAAACAATTTTCTTTCCAATAAATTTTAATACTGTCTAACTATATAATAACTCCGAAATTTGTAATAAATTATAATGAAATATAATTAATCCAATTTAAAGGAAGTCGACGGATGCAGTAATCTTAGAACCGTGCTTTGTGGCAATTCTTGGGGGAGGCCTATATTCAGCAGTGGACTTGTGAAAGGCTGTAAAATTTTATTCGATCCTCCGGCGCTGGCCTTCGTATTTTGTTCCCCTCTGTCAAAATATAAGACCACACGGTCCTATGCGTACAATAAAACTACCTAAAAAATGCCGAAGTTTTCAGTTTATTTTTACTGCAAAAAGAGATCTGCCACATCAAATTTACAAAAAGATGGTATTATCTTTCATATATAAGTAATTTTAAATGACATTATTGCTATTTACTTCTTTTTAAACTTAAAAGTTACAACAATAACGGTTGTGTTGTTTCGGATTTGTTTACCAACACATGCCGTTCGTCCTTATATATTACCCAGATCGGTCGAGCGACTGATCCGAGTCTGTATCCGAGTTGTCGATCTCACCAACCGATACTGTTATAATGTACACGTGGGTGTGAAATTGTTAGTATATTGTTTTAATTCTTATGTAAGTATGCGTTTAGTAAAGACAGACGATTGTTTTTGTGTGCACAGAGTTCTCTATCGAGGAAAAATGCTATGGCTACTTCCTTCCAGTCCGCCAGTGGCCCGTGTTGCTCTATGGTTGTATATAATCCTGATATGTATGTAATTACTCCACTGACCTCTATATATACTAGTACGCAGGACTAGCTATAACCTACAAAACGTTTGTGCCGATTTGAAGCGCTGACATTGAGTGTGCCGGCAATCAAATTTGACACAATTTGCAAATGACCGTTGTTTTGCTATATACTTCTTAGAGTATATAGGCACGTTTGTGAAATATCGGATGGATCGAGAGTGAGCGAGAGGTTGCATCACTCTAGCGGAGCGTCATATCGATGGTAGAATTGAGGGTAGAATGCGAAATCCCCATTCGTTTGTGCAGTGTAAAAGTTCAGTGTAGATGCCGAGCGCAAGAGGCCATTTTACGTGGTAGTAGTGCTAAGATAGTATCGTGGTAAGCGAGGAAGATAGTATTTCTGATAGGCTGCTCTGTGTTACCTGAGGTGTGTGGTGTCCCATACTTTGGTGTTATCATGTAATTACGTCCCTCACGTTACGCTAGTGTGTGATTGTGGCAAGGACGACTTATGGTGTGATCGAACTGCTCTATACTGAATGTATGGTGGTTACTACTGATAATGGTTAATTACGTAAGCAAAAGAGCAAATTAAACATCCGCTCTCACACTTTTACTATTTTTAACAATTAATCTTTCCTGATGTATTTTCCGAAATCAGAAGTGGGATCTTCTTTTATATCTCCGACAAGTATTTTAAAGTTTTAAACGAGAAAAACAGTGTGTATTGTGTACGTCGGTTATGTTTCATGTTAGTAATATAATAAAACGTATTTTTAGTAACAATGATAATGTGAACTTCGTTACCAGATGGGCAAGTGTGGTAACATTCCACCAGTAAGAGGGTTTACAGTTTATATTAAAAAAAATTAAAACTATTTGATTATATATCTTAAAAATCTGTCACGTAACTTATCAAATGTGATTATATTTGGCTTTAAATTACCTATTTTTGATAAACAATAAAATTATATAGGGTTGACGAGTTCCTTGTTGATAATATTTATCGATTTTCATTTCTACCTAGACAACAATAAAAAGAGCTGACAACAGATAATTATCAAATATTTATTAATTTACAGGTTTCCAACTGACTTTATACCAAAACTGTGCTAATAAGCATAAAACTTGTGAATTGGCTGAAGCAAATTGATTATAATGCCGATGATTCGTGGTATGGTATTCTTTAATGTAATTTTAAGTTTATAGAATTGTAATTGCGCCTGTAGATATTGTTGAAATACGCCTAATATTTTGGTAGCGTATAGATTTTCTCTATAACGAGGACTAAATGAATAGTTAACAATAAATTATAATTTTTATTTATTTTGTAGTTACCTACTCCAGTTTTTTTACTCACTGGATCTTTTTAAACCTCTCGAATGAACCAAACATACTATAGTTATGAAAAAAAAACGTGGTTAGACTAACGCTGTATCGATTTTTGTTTTATATGAGGTATAAAGCTTATGTCTAAGACATATTATGCATTAATTTTTATTGTATTGCATTATATTAATGATACTCTCATCATAAGGGGGTATTTGCCATAGATAGGGAAGAAAGGTTCTTGAGTGGCAGCCTCGTACCGGTAGGCGAAGTGTAGAGCGACCCCCCACGAAATGGAGTGACGACCTGGTTAGACATTCAGCAAGTCGATGGATGCAGGTGGCTCAGGACCGTGCTTTGTGGCATTCTTTGGGGGCCTATGTTCAGCAGTGGACTTATGAAAGGCTGTAATGATGATGATGATGATGATGATGATGATGATATTAATGATTCATATGATACATATATAGAGTGGTAGGCCTGGGTATAAAATATTTATCGATAATGTCACACTATCCTATTATTAGTTCCGTGGACGCTCACTTCTGCTATCAGCGCCAAAATGGTGAAAATTAAATTGCCTCATCATGTCACGGTGTACAGCTAGGCCAGCGTATTTGCATAATAAAGTATAGGTCACTCAATTACTCTAAGAATCCTGAGGCCTAATCTGTGTGTTGCTAAGCAACGTGTATCCATACAAACATTGGTAATTGATTTATTACTGTTTAAACATTACAAACACAATTTTATAAATATCTAATTCCATTTAATGTGTTTAAAGTCACAAGAAAAAATGGTTACTTTACCAGAAATAGCAGAAGATATTGTAAACAAAACGTTAGCACACGCAAATGACGATAATTCGCGGACGATTTTTCTAGCTGGAAGTAAATCAGTGGTAAGCAATCTATCAATGATAATTGTATAGTATTTCCATATTATACATTCATTTTTTTGACATTTATATTAATTTAGATAACTAGTATTTAAATTAGAAGTAGTAGTATAGAAACTATATCTCTTACTTTCTAACTACAGTAGGGTCTCGTTAATTCGGAGAGGCAAAAACAAGATCCTTTCCGGATTATCGAAGCGTCCGGATTATAGTATGCCATATTTAATAGTAATAAAACACATGTTTAACCTTAGTTTCTTTAATCAATTTTCAAATTAAAGCATAAAGACAAAAATGTACATGTTCAAAATTACAACCGTGTAAGAAAAACAGATAAAACATTAATTAATTCTTCTTGAAAAAGTCTGTAATACTCTTCTATTTATAATTTTCGCACTTCATTTCAAAAGCCCGGTCTCTTAGTCGACGGAGGAACATAACTTCGTGGCTATCACATTCATTATCTTCAGCCCATTTTAAAGCAGTGTTTAAAGCTCCTACTGCCTCTGAATTAGCAACTTTTTTAGAGGCTGAGCACTTCAACGCTATTGTCTTCATCTTACTCGTCGTCCTCACACATTGCCGCTCGCACAATCTCCTCATCAGTTAACATTTTATATCTTTGTAACTCGCTTTCGGCACTGCCAGCAGCCCATTGTTGAGCTTCTGCCTCACTTATTTGAGGATCATTTGATCCCCTTAACCTATTAAAAAGCTGTGCTAAAGGAACATTAAGGAATCATCTTCTGGTTCGTCATTACCAGTGAGAAATCCAGGGTGCAAATTCTTCCATGATTCGTTAATTAGCGATGTCTTAACATTAGCCCAGCAATTAGCCAAAAGAAAAACTGTGTCCTTTAAAGTTATCGATTTTAATGAGTCCATGAGGTTCTCAGAACATAATACAAGACAGTTAATCAAAAGTGATTTGCCGTAATTTAACTTCACATTTTGTATAACGTTCTGATCCATTGGTTGTATACACGCCGTGGTGTTAGGTAGCAGGAACATTCCAAAAATAATTTTATCAATCAAAGAAAAGTCTTCAGAGATAAGTTGATCTGCTGATGGATGCCCAGGACAATTATCCATCAATAACAGGGCCTGAGGAGGCAAATTAACAGACAAAAGATGGCGACGGATCGCGGGAACGAAATCCGTTTTAAACCACTCAAGAAACAAATCTTTCGTAACCCAAGCATTTGTGCACGATAACAAACAGAAAGACATGGTGATTTAAGTGCCCGCGGGTTTTCGGATTTTCCCACAATAAGCAATTGAAGTTTATGGGTTCCAGCCACATTTGCACAAGGCATGAATGTCACTCATCTTCATCATTTACTTTGCGGAAGCCGACTGCTCATTGCCAGAGGCTAAAGTATGATCTGGGAATAATCGCCAGTATAAACCAGATTCATCAGCATTGTAAACCTGATCCGCTGTAAAAAAATTTATCTAATAACATTCTGTAACTCTAGTTGGAATGGTCCGATATCAAAAAAATTATCTAATAACATTCTGTAACTCTAGTTGGAATGGTCCGATATCGGCTAAAAAATAAATAATAATGCTTCCTGTTCCTTCAAGCTACTCTCTGCGTTACAGTGTTCGGTACGGCTCTGAGCCTTACTGCTCGACTCTGCTTCACAGCACTCTCGCAGATTACTTGCCTTCTTCTCGACTCACCGCAGACTACAAGGCAATCACTGACACTTGCTCATGCTTATCGTTCTCACCGGCATCACTTGCAAGTGCGTAGTATGGCATGCATTACATACCGGCATATCATTTACCGGCGTCACTCGCCCCTACGCACACGGCATGCATTCCCCACCGGCATTAAGGACGCACCGGCAATCGGACTGCACTATCGACCTCCGGTCTGAGCAGCGGTCCGGGGTGATGTGGCTGCGCTGTCGTCGCGCTACAAGCGAAACAAATTGAAGCCTAAATCGCGCTAACAAAGTTCTGAAATTAAAAAAGGTATATTATATAAAATAGCTTCGAGCTACCACTTGGAGCGTTGGCCGCTCCCCAGGCAGAACACCTTGCCCGGCGGGAGATCTCCCCTTTTCATTCCACCGCCACAGTGGTAATAAAAATGGCCGGTGAAAAACTGTCAAATGATGACATTTGACAGTTTTTCACCGGCCATTTTTAAACGTCTTATTCCATGGCGTTATTTAATTTGTCTAACCATCCCCGGCTTGCATTTTTTTTTATAGGAGAGGGGGCAAACGAGCATGCGGCTCACCTGATGGTAAGTGACTACCGCCGCCCATGAACAACTGCAACACCAGGGGAATCGCAGATGCGTTGCCGGCCTTTTAAAAAGGAGTACGCTCTTTTCTTGAAGGTCCCTAAGTCGTATCGGTCCGGAAAAATCGCTGATGGTAATCGATTCCATAAGGAGGTCGTGCGAGGAAGAAAACATCTTCTAAATCGCACAGTAGTGGACCGCCAATCATCCAGATGGTGTGGATGGTATCGGGAGTTCTGCCGCGATGTGCGTTCGTGAAATTTGGCGGCTGGGATTAATCCGAACAATTCCTCAGAGCACTCCCCATGGTAGATGCGAAAGAAAATGCAAAGGGATGCAACATCTCTTCGCAGTGCCAATGAATCGAGCCGATCGGAAAGGGCTCGGTCGTCGACAATTCGAGCCGCCCTGCATTGGATGCGGTCAAGTGGAAGGAGCTGGCACTGGGGAGCCCCTGCCCAGAGATGGGAACAGTATTCCATGTGAGGCCGAACTTGCGCCTTGTAAAGTAGCAGGCGGTGTGCCGGCATGAAATACTGTCCCGCTCTGCTGAGCACGCCAAGCTTTTTAGAGGCCAATTTGGCCTTCCCTTCCAAGTGACCACGAAACTGCACGTCACTCGATATGTCGACTCCGAGGATACCGATACTGGCTGAGGCAAGAAGGGGAGTGCCTTGAAACTGAGGAGATACGACAAAGGGGTTCTTTTTAGCGGTAAACGCGCAAACTTGTGTCTTCTGAGGATTAAATTGGACTAGATTTAGTCGCCCCCAATCCGAGACTTTGTTCAGCAAAGACTCGACTTCAGACACAAGTTTGTTCCGGTACTCAGCGACGTTTTCCCGAGAAATATTGGCACGGCCGGTGTATAGAGCATCACCAGTGCTGTCATCCGCATAGCAATGAATGTTACCAGTTAGCAACATATCATTGATATGCAGAAGAAACAGCGTTGGTGATAGCACACAGCCTTGTGGAACACCAGCGTTAATAGGCTTGTAGTCAGAGCATGCACCGTCTACAACGACCTTGATGCTCCGATCTGCAAGGAAGCTGGTGATCCAATTGCACAATTTCTCGGGAAGCCCATAGGAAGGGAGCTTCGAAAGAAGCGCTTTGTGCCAAACCCGATCGAAGGCCTTCGCAATGTCCAGACTAACTGCCAACGCCTCCCCCTTGGACTCTACTGCCTCCGCCCATCTATGGGTCAGGTAGACCAGAAGATCACCAGCTGATCGACCCCGACGAAAACCGTATTGGCGGTCACTAATCAGCTGGTGATCCTCAAGGTACCGGATGAGCTGGCAGTTAATAATGGATTCCATTATTTTGGAGAACAAGGAGGTGATCGCGATAGGCCTATAGTTGGATGGGTCTGAGCGGTCGCCTTTTTTAGGGATCGGGTGGACAAAAGCTGTCTTCCATGAATTCGGGACTACGCCTTGGGAGTAGGAGTACCGGAAAAGACGCGTTAGGACCGGTGCCAACTCCGGAGCACACGTCCTCAGCACAATTGGGGGGATTCCGTCAGGCCCACTTGACTTCTGGATGTCCAGGGAGAGCAGTGCTTTGCGAACCGAGCGCTGTGAGAACAGCACATCCGGCATGGAGCACTCACACCGCGGGATGGTCGGCGGTGTTTTCCCCCCGTCATCAAGAGTCGAGTTGGACGCAAAAAGGGAGCCTAAAAGGTCGGCTTTGTCTTTTGCGTCATGGACCACTGAGTCATCCTCCCTGTGCAGAGATTACCATCTCTGCACAGGGAGGATGACTCACTGGTCCATGACGCAAAAGACAAAGCCGACCTTTTAGGCTTCCATGAATTCGGGACTACGCCTTGGGAGTAGGAGTACCGGAAAAGACGCGTTAGGACCGGTGCCAACTCCGGAGCACACGTCCTCAGCACAATTGGGGGGATTCCGTCAGGCCCACTTGACTTCTGGATGTCGTCCTCCCTGTGCAGAGATGGTAGTGATGGCTTACAGAAATTCCCTTGGACAGCCTTGGCGAGAGACCAGAATGCACGGGTTCCCGAAGGAAGGCGAACTAGTTTCTCGCCAATTCTGCCTATGTGCTCTGACTTTGCCTTGGCAATAACTCTTTTGAAGGAGCTGGAGGCGAAGTTATACTTCTTTTTAAGTGTGCTGGTATTTACATCCCGAGTCGCCGAAGCCGCAGCCCAGGCTTGATAACACTCCTGCTTACTGCGTAATGCAGTCTTACAGGAGCGACCAAACCAAGGCTGAGATCTGCCTCCCATGGGTACCACAGATGATGGAATAAATAGTTCCATTCCCTGTAGCACCACATCAGTGACAGAGTCAGCAACAGCGCTGGGATCATCCGGCGAGAAGCAAACCCGCCCCCATGGGTAGGATGCAAAGAAGGACCGCATTCCGTCCCAATCCGCCGACCTATAATGCCAAACACGGCGGCAACCTGCAGAACGCAACCGCGAAGGGAGCGTGAGTGGCACCACACTCCGGATCAGACAATGGTCCGAAGAGCCGAGAGGGGCATCGACGGAAACCTGATATCCGTCCGGATGAGAGGTCAGCAGAAGGTCCAACAGGGAAGGTGTATGATTCTCCACATCTGGAATCCGCGTAGGCGAATTAACCAGTTGTGTCAGACCATATGCCAAGGCAAAGTCATAAACAGATCTCCCCGCATGATCGGTTAGACGTGAACCGAGCCATTCGGCATGGTGGGCGTTAAAATCGCCAAGGATCACGATCTCTGC